GGCAGTCTGCTTTCGTGGTACAGAAGTGGTTTGACCTTGTTTTCGCAACTTGGTCATGTTGGTAGGAAGATTGAGAGGAACTTGTCTAGTCTGGAGTTCATAATCATTTGCAAAGTCGGACCGTGGATGTGGTACATTTCCAGACGTTTCGCCGGCATTCTCAGAACCTCACAACAGCTCGTCAAAAAGACAAGTTGTGAAAGTTTCGGGAGGTGGTGAGTTGGATGAAAACACCGTTTTGCGAAGCGAGTCTGTGTGAAACAGAGTGTGAACAGTGGGCCTGTTCACCGGATTACGAAACAAATGCAATAGCACTTTCAACCAACTGCATCACTTGACTAGAAGGTTTGAAGATCAAGATGGTGTGGTTTTTAGTAGGTTGACGCTCTCCTTTCGTTGCATACACTTTGTTCCATCTCGTAAGCGACGTATTGCCTTCATTTCGCTTCAGGTGACGAACGACTGGTGGTAGAATTAGCCCACAATCATGTGAGTTGAACTGACGTTTCCATTCCATTTCACACAGACTTTCCATTTCGACCTCGCCTCGTCTGGGTCTTGTCAACACCGCCAGCGGGAGTCGAACCGTGGCAGTGACACGACAACCACTCGCATTGCCACGACGACCATTGGTTCACGCGGCAGATGTGCATTTCAAGCAATGCCACACCTTTTCACATGTCACCTTTGGCGTCTTTTCACAACTTCCAGCAAGACACGATACCACTTTTCCGAAGAAGAGACAGCACAACTGCTTCGCGGCTTCATGTGTCTCTTCGACGAGGTGTGTTGTGTTGCCGCCAATGGCCAGACGTGTCTGCATGTACCGAAGCGACGACGACACACCTCACAGTTTTGCTGCCAATATGAGTTGGTGGAGGAGACTTTCTACCAAACACGTTGAACACTCATCACGTCTGTTTGCTCGTGCCGTGGTACGATCGTTTGCAGAGCCGGTCTTGGTAGAATTTGCAAAAAATGTTGTCCTCGGTTCGCCCATAAACTTGTCCGCTCCACATTCGCCGTCGCCGTCGCCGTCGCCGTCGTCGTTGCAGGCGGACATGAAAACAAATTGGGCCAGTCTAATGAGGCACCAGCCTCACGGCATCCAACAGAATATTCATTTGCGTGTATATTTGTGTGTCTGTCTCTGTGAGTGTGTGCGTGTGTGTATATTTGCGGACACACACACACACACACATAACCGAACCGCTGTACGACGACCGGGTGAGCGGTAGATCCAGTCTTGCGCTTATCTTCGTAGCTCGTCAGACGAGTCGCTGATGTATCCACTTTGCGCCCG